CCTCGTGGTCTGGTTTCTGCCCACACTGCCAAACTGTGGAGGATGTCCAGTCACTCACCTTTTTTAAAAACGATCAAACATTACAGTCCCATTTGGATTTCATGCGGTGAAGATAAGCACCTTGGATCTATGTTAACAGAATGGTGATGAGAAAATGTTATTGTTGACCTCAGTCGTTATTAAGCACAGACATTTTAGCTATTATCAAATGGAACATCTCTTTGCTCGTCTACTTCACATTCTCATACCTGTCCTGATGTAAAGTCTCAACCGAACAGAACAAACAGTACATGTAATCACATGACTAAATCTTTAGTCATGTTATTACAGTGGCAGGTGATGGTACTCTGGGGTGTGTTGTTTTTTGTTTTACTTAAAGGGATAGTCCACCCAAAAGTATGTCATCATTTACTCACCCACATGTTGTTCCAAACCTGTTTGACTGTGGAACATAAAAGAAGATATTTTGAAGAACTTTGGGGTCCAAACAACATGCCATGTTTTCTTTTGTGTTAAACAGAAGGAAGGAAGTCAAACAGATTTGGATGAAAGTGAATAAATGATGACAGCATTTTCATTTTTTTGTGTGAACTATCACTTTAAGAAGGTGATCAAGCTTTCGTTCACAGGATTTTTACTTTACACTCTTTTCTTCATCTGCTTCTTTTTTAAAACATAATCAGAGTTGGTCTATGGAACATGCAACATCAGTATTTGCTTTTTCCTACTTGCATGCATTGCATTATATATATATATATATATATATATATATGTATATATATATGTGTGTGTATGTATATATATGTGTATGTTCAGAGCTGGATGTTGAATCCAACCTTATATGAACACCTGTGCTTTCAAGAGGGAGATTTCCAGCTCAATTTCTTGTGATCAGAGTGCTTATTTTCCTCCACAGTCCCTTCAGTAATTCATGCACTTTCTAGAAACTCTTTTGTTTCATATCACACCGGATCACGTTTTAAGAAACAAAAAAGGGAATAACTTTTCTTAAGTTGCCAAAAACATTTATATTGTCATGATTGTTGATTAAAACTAGTGTGTTTTTGTACTCTTTACAAAAACGATGAGTTAAATTTTTTATAACGCTGAGTATTATTAGATTATCCATTTTGATCATATCATTTTTGAACTGTATTAGATTGTAGAACATGATTAACATCAACATGTACTTAACTCAGACTTTATGTCAGGTGCTGATGATATAGCTAACCTCTGAGACACACAAGTGTTTTTGTACTCTCACAATTCCCACCAAACACGCAGCTAGCACTCAAGCTGCAGTGGAGAATTTTGCTTCCACTGTGGTCTACTTGTTTTTGCCATACTTGAAGCCATACATGAACAACCCAAGGAACTTGTTCATTTACGATTCCAAGTGAATGTTGAGTTTGCATCACACCAGTCAATCATACGATTAAGTGCAAAAATTATGAAATAGTTTACCAACTGCCTTATAAAATATTCCTTTTATATTGTATCGTCCTTTTGAAAAATAAATTAAATGAACACAAACTTTGTCACTTCTTTTCTATCTTTGTAGATTATGCGAACCTAAAGGCCTGTTTAAGGTCTGTAAGTGATGTTTGTCTGCAGTGTGACAGTTATTATTGTTCATTAAAACAAAAAACATTTCTGTTATATGAAATTAAAAAAGAAAAAAACGATTTAATTGTAGCTAATTGCAACGTTTTTCATTTTATTTTAGTTTGATGATGTGCTAAAATAACAAACTAAATAAAAAAAAATTAAACTAGACCTATTTACATTAACAAAAACCAATGAAAATGACAAAAACAATCCATAAACTATAAAAAAAAATCCATTCCTCCAGTGGAAAAGTCCATCCTCTGTTGTCCTCTCACATAAAAATCAACCAACATATTTGTTTTGGACTGTTTTTGCTTGTAAACGGTGCTTGACCCGTGCATATTTCTCTCCTGATTCCACTTTTTCACTGGAGAAAGCAATATTATTGAGAGAGGACTTCTGTTTTTTTTTCTGGTGGATTTGTTTCTTACAGACATTCAGCTTTTCACTTCACAAGACATTAACTGATGGACTGAGTCGTGTGGGGTACTTGTGGATTATTGTGGTGTTTTTATCAGCTGTTTGAACTCTGACGGCACCCATTCACTGCAGAGGATCCATTGGTGAGCAAGTGATGTAATGCTAATTTTATCCAGATCTGTTCAAAGAAACAAACTCATCGACATGTTGGATGGCCTGAGGGCGAGTACATTTTTTAGCCAAAATATGCACTGTGGTGTTATTACGCTCAGGGCTTTTCATATCAGTCACATGGGGGCGCTGTTTCCTTTGCTATTATGTGCACTGTTGTAGATGTAAAATTCTCATTTCATCCCATCTAAATGTGCAAATGTGGGTCAAAAGAAGTGGCATCATGTGACAAGTTCAAAGATCAATAATAATGTATGTGGAGTGAATATCATTTTAATATTGATAAAGCGGTTATTTAGATTTATTAGGTTTGTGATTTCATAGGAATGAAGCACTCTGTCCATATCTTAGGTCATTGATCCAGAGTAATAAATGCCTAACAGAAATCAACAACACAATGTACACTGTTTATGTTGTTTTCTTAGAAACCAATACATCCAAAAAGTATTATAGAGAGAAGAGGTCATAATTATGGCATTCCTGATGTCTTATATAATACTGAAGGTAAAGGTATGCTGCTGATTGCTTTAAAATGTAATTCAAATGATCAAAACCAGGATTTCAAAGAAAAGGATTAAAAGTCTTAAGTCTGTTACCAAAAAGAAGACCTACTTGTATATTTGATCACAGTTATTTATTGATTTCGGGTATGACTAACAGGAAGGTACTGACTGCTGATAAGAATCACCTGGAAATCCGCCAGTTTCACTTCTTCGTAGTGAAATCACAAGGCTTTTTTTTCACGAAAAGCTGATTTAAATGTCAACATACCTCAGTGACAATGGTCTGACAAGTACATTGAATCGAAACAAAAACTAAAAAATGACACAAAATTACTATAAATTTAACTAAAATGTCAAAATATAAACAATAAAAAATATTAAGAACTACAATAGTAGTGTCTTTAAAAAAAAATCTGTTTATGTTTATTATAAAAGTGACCACTTAGTTGCTTCCAAAAAGAAATAACATAAAAATTGCTAGTGTTTTTATAAATAAATATTTGATTATCATAAAACTCTATACTGTATAGCTCAGTTTAATTAGACCAATGAAACACTTGAATAAAACTTAGATAAGACTCATTCCTGAGTCTAGAGAAGTCTTGATTATATGAGTGTGGCTTATATAAGTGTATAGTTTGTGTGGCAGTCAACATCTCCACACAACTTAAATGGCTTGCATAACCAAAGCACTTCTTACTGGTTCCATGCTTACAAAATAAAGGACACTGTACAGGTGACTTATCGTTGTTGTAAAATAAACCTAAATGGGGTTAGTGGCACCTTCTTAAAATATAAAAACAGTGCAGTAAAAAAAATTGAAAACAGTTTCATGTACTGTATCAACACCCATTTAGTTAATAGCAAGCAGGTTATTATAAAGACTTGTTTATCATTCTACGAAAGGTATAATTCATTGTTGTTCTTGTTGTTGGTGGTGGTGGTGGTGGTGGTGGTGTTACCTTAATTAGAATTATGTCAATATTAGGAAGAAAAGGAAGATTTTAAATTTAAATTAAATTAAATTAATTTGTATGGCATTTTTCATAATGATTATCACATCCAAACCAGCTTCAGAGACAATTGACACACACAATCAAGTTCAAGTGAACAAGTATATGGTGATATTCATAAACTATAAGTAATAGACAAATATAAATTATGAGACATTTAGAAATAAAATTACAATATATTTTATCAAATAAAAAGAAAAGAAAAGTTTGTTTCCTTGACAAATGTTTTCAATCTACCTCTCTTATCACACTGTGATACTCTTATACAAACCTAACAATAACAAAAACTGCAAATAATAGCATTCATTAGATTAATATCTGCAGGCTGTATCATCAGCAATGTTAGCTTTCAGAGGCCTGAATTTGACTTATGAAAATGACTTAGGTATGTTGTCAAACCATGTTCAGCAGAGTGCCTTATGTAAGCCATGCTCAACTGAACAACAGTTTGCATAGAGGGATCCATTGAGAGAGGGCATGAGGAGGCATGTCTGTCTACATATTCATGTTTCTTTTTCTAAGTGGCTGAAACCATGGAGACAGCAGGCTAAGGTGGAGGTAGTTACATAATATAGGATCTCCACAGAGGAAATAGAACAACTTGCAAAATGACATCACAGGAAATATGACATCTATTTAATACTAATCTTTTATGCAGCGATACACATTACGGTCTTCTTTATTGGCCTTTATTTTCTGTGTTTATCAAATTGCATAATGTTTGCCTCTGGTCTGAACTGGAATTATGCATTGAAATAAAATTAACATAAACCTTGATATTTTAACAGAGTTAGTTTTTTTATGATGATCATGATTTACAAAGCAGAAATATGTCTTAGTGAACCACAGTGTCAGAATAACTGATGAATCATTTTTTAATGCCTGCAATATCTTTGCATCTTTGTATCTAGGCCTATTTATTTATTACATTTGAGATTCAAGAGACAGAAATCTCACAACACTATCATAGAACTCCAAAGCATTCACTCCAGCTCCAAAGTATAACACCTAAAATATTTATATATAGACAGCTCACATCAGTTCTGCATGAATGAATTGTACTGTGTTCTGGTTGCTGGGGGCAAGAACTGGGCTGCCGTGATTAAACTTAATAATGGCTGGTGACATACAGCTAAACACACTCACTACATATTCACACAAGCAACGCGCTTCTTTTTACATAGTCCCAGGTACAACATAATTAATCTCTCAGAAACATTTATTGAATTTGTAAAGTGTCATATTATAAGCACGTTAGAGACGAGCTCCATTTGTCCCGCCCATCGTGCTGTCGTCATCAGTGACGCAGCACAGTTAAGCGCGCGGACTTCGGTGTCGTTTGTACATTTCGTTAACGGCGGCTCTTTGGATTCATAACTACTATTTTTTCTAAGCAGAAATTGTGTCCTTCATCCTAAACAGACAAAGGAAATCGGTAAGACATTTAACTTAAGTTGTGTTTGAAAATGAAAGTGGTGTTAGTCGAGCTCGTGAAGTGTTCCTGTTTGTGTTGTTTGAGGAGAAGCCATGCTTTACTGTCTGTTCGCAGTTTTACCTAAACGTTTGACCTACAGCTTGAATTTCGGGTGAGGTAGAGCAATACAATATTCCGTTTTATATCCAGATGACATACGGTTGTTTTGGTGAATGGCTCAAAGTAAGAATCAGCTTCTGTTCTTCTAACCGCATCTCTGAAACGGACCGCTCCTCTCCGATTAATAGCACTTTAACCGTCCAGACCGTTTAAAACCAGGAAGTGTCTGATTATCGTTGAAGAGGTCATTTAGTTAAAGATTAAAGATGAAAATGAAAGGAAAATGTTTTTTTGTTTGTTTGTTTTTTGCAGAACGACAGCCTCAGTCACCATTTAACGTTACGTTAGCGTTACTTATTTTGAAAGTGAATATGTAACGTTGCTTAGGCTGTCTTTCTGCCTAAAATCTCATTTTCTTTCAGTTCCACATTCGGGTTTTGGTCATTTTTGGTGAACAAATGACGCAGTGTTCGTTTCGTTTGAACGAACCATTTGACAATACAGCTGGGTCTTTTCAAGTATTTCTAATTCATTAATCACATAGATATGTGATACCTCAGTAATCATACAGTATGCTGTCTTTGTCACATGACCTGCTGACCTAGTACAGACCTGATGCGATGTTTATATTGCAGACTTGTTTTCAGTTTATGGTTATGATCGGTCACGTGTGCGTCTTTCAGCGGTACTGGTTTGATCTAGAAAGAGCAGTTCCTCCTCGCGCTCCGGGTAGCGTGTGCCGCCTCGCGCCTTCAACAACAATAAACCCGGAAATATAAAAACCACTGAGTGCGTTACGAGTTTTTTTATTTTTATTTATTTACATTAAATGTACTGTATAAGGTTTAGAGCATCAATTTGTGTTTTCTAAAGTTGCAATTGTTTTTCCTTACGTTACAGTTAAACAAAGTTGTTAGAAGCAATAATATGAACTGGACCAAAACATAATATTGATATGGGCCGAAAAATACAAGTGGTTACAGTTTTGGTACATAAAGAAACCTATTCAGGCTTCCCACAGCCTTGGAAAATCTAGAAATATCAGAGTGTTGGGATTTTCCAGGCCTGGAAAAGACAGGGGATTTTCTATAATCAATACAGAACTTTCTAGTCAAATACAGTTGTAAAATATTTATAGAATATATAGAAATCTAAACCTACTGGAAAACCTTAAAGAATTAATTGGTGAAAATGTGTGTGAACGCTGACTATGGCAAAATTGAACTTTTTTTGTATCAATGTCTGTGCTGGGGTTGTTCATGTTTTTGAAGAAGCTTCTTATGCTTACCATGGCTGCATTTTATTTGATAAAAAATACGGTAAAAAACAGTAATATTGTGAAATTATTACAATTTTTCTAGTTGAATATATTTTAAAATGTAATTGATCCCTGTGAATTTTCAGCAGTCATTAATGGAGTCTACAGTGGCACATGATCCTTCAGAAATCATTCTAATATTCTGATTTGAAGCTCAAGAAACATTTCTTATTAGCTGTAGTTGAATTGTCTTGGTTGAATTGAGTGTGTTTGTCTTTCACTTCTTCAGGTCATCATGTGTAATCAAGGTGGTAGAACTTGTATTCTTTAACCCACTGAGTGAAATTAGACACAATCTGTGACGTGAAGTTTGAGTTGCTGCAGCCACTGCTTCTTATCCAGAAACATCTGCGTGTGGTACCCTCTGTTGAAAGTGCCTTAGAGCAAGACTGTTCTTCTGTTATACCTGTTTGGTAAGTGTGTCTCCTCACCAGACCTGCATGGAATGTGTGACCACAGAATTTTACAGAAATCTGTGGGGATTTCTGCAGAATTTCAGAGAGCTTTTCACATCCCCCACTCCTTATATGTTCATAAGTATTTAGCTACTTTTGATGACACCCTCTAATATATGTGTAGCATTCTCAGCTCAGTTTAACACATTTTATATCATATTTAAATCCATTTCACAGATATCCCCACACAGTCATTGCAGAACGTGGTATAAAATGCCACAGATTCCATGTGGGTCTTCTCATCATGTGCTGTGTTTGTGAATTAGGGCTGCACGATATTAGAAAAAACTCACATTGCGATATTTTGTTTTTCTGCGATTTATATATTGCGATATGAAAAAAAAAAAATCACCAGATGACTTGAATAGCTCTATTTGAAAAAAATAATCAATGATTGGGGTGATTTTGTAGGTGAGTAAATCAGCATAGAAAATAACAAACAAATTACAAGCATAGATAAATATAATAGAACAAAGATACAAATGAAATAAACAGTGCTGAATATTTTTCAGATAAGTCTAACAGTATCAGGTACAGAAATTGAATAATCAAATGTAAAATAACACTGCATAGTCTTCACTGTATAAATTAAATATAATAAATCTGTGTTAAAGCTACAAAAGTGATTTTTCTCTGTGTTTTGTTGTTTGATTAGCATTCATGACACTGAACGTAACAGGAACATTAAACTGCTGTGAACCAATATACTGTTACACATCCGTTTTCTTTCTGAATTGTTTACCTTCACCCAGAGCCGATCCTCCCTATACGCAAAATACGCAAGCTGCGTAGGGCCCCCTTGTTCTCAAAGATGATTTAATTTTAGTTTAGTTTTTTTAATTTGGTCAGCGATTATGAAAACCGAGCACCGAGCCACGGAAGAGACACTGTTTCTCAAGTGCTTTCCGCGAGCACAAGTTGAGATGGAGTGGAACATGGACAAATGCGTTTCATTCATTCGTTCATAACCACTCATACCCCCCCGGCGACACAGTATTGCGTAGGGCCCCCAGAAGTCTAGGATCGGCACTGCCTTCACCTAAGCCATAAGCAACTGTGTTTACAAGGATACTTGCAGAGACATGAATTTTGACACAATTTTGCACATAAGTGTCATGTCGTGCACAAATAGACAAAGTGAACGGAATTCGTTGTTCATGTGCATCTGCGTGGCTCTGTGTGTGAGCACAGAAAACGGCGCGTGTTCATAATTGAGCTCTATTTTGCGCCTTCTTGCGCTCTAATGGTTTAAAAATCGCTTGAATGTTTAAACCGACAGGACCTAAAACACATACAATGATGAACCTTCATTGTATGATGGTTAAACTTTGCACTCAATCCAAGAATCGCCTGTGTTTTGAACCTTGGTACCTGGTCCATGTGGATTACCGATCACTATACTAAACATCGCACATCCTGCGATGTGACTATTGCGGATGCGCACATCTCTATATCGATGCTGAAACGATATATCGTGCAGTTCTATTGTGAATAAAAAGCAGTCGTTTTACTATGTTTGGATTTTGCTATGTTTGCCTCCTTGATTTTGATAGATCCATCAAAATGACTCCCAACGGATATTTAATATTTGAAGACGAGAGCTTCCTTGATTCTACTGTGGCCAAGATGAATGCTTTGCGTAAAAGCGGCCAGTTTTGTGATGTCAGACTGCAGGTAAGAACACC